GTCAATCGAGTTTGGACCAGCCAATCCAGTGACTGACATCATGAGCATCAGTCCACGCAAAAGGGATACGATGACATACATCAACCAAGACAGCGAGCCTGACTACCTGATCCCGTTAGTCGCCTCTTACGACAAGCATGCACCTTAAGCTTAGTGCCTCGGCAAGCCGGTTAATTATAGTCCATGTTGAACATATTCATTGGTTATCGTTCTAGATTTTACTTATATGAATACTATGGTCTACCCTTGAAACACTGATGGCCAAGTAACGTTGCTGATAACAGCAGTGGTGTAATCAGTCGAAACAAGAATATGTACAGCCAATTTCTAAAAACTATTTTTTGGAGGAATGTCAAACCAGGTGGCCATGACTGTCATAGTCACAAATATTTCAATATTATATGATAAATATTTGTTGTTGTCAGGCAGACACAGTAACATAGTTGGGTGGATGTTAACATGCTTATGGTATTGTAGTTTGCCGGAATGAACATTGATCACTGAATAGGCTTGCATCTGGTTGATGGGATTTACTTTATTGTAGGAAGAAACAGACTAAATTGGGATCCCAAACATGAAATAAATAATTTTATAGTTTTAATAAAGCTCTATCGCTTGGAGAGAAATCGAATTCAGGTTGTGTGGTCGGCTTTCAGGATGGGTCGGATCACTAACCTCAAAGAAACGTCTGGTTTTCATTAGACTTCAGTACAAAGTTGCATGATTGGAGAGTGCCTTATATTAAAGGATGGAAATTAGGGTTATGAGGTTAAAGCCATAAACATTAAACATCCAGGCAGAATACGTTATCAACCAGCTGGATTGTGACGTTCTGGTATCTACGCTGTGTGGGAGCGCACGTCACGTAAAACGTTCAGTGGGATATAGTCTGGACAAGGATGTGATCAAAGATAAAGCAAATTTCAAATACAAATAACATACTTGATGAAAATACTTGACCGTGATAGGTAAATGACAAATCTTGATGTACTTGATGAGTGTAATGATTTCTTCCGATTTATGTTAGAACGTCTACGAATGAACCCACTGCGAAAGAATTACGTGGCATTGGCATTGGAACACAACAGTACTGGCTAAAGTGTTTGAGACGTAACTGAATGCTTTGGGCAGTATGTCCTCACTGAAATCTATATAGTTCCTCATAACTGCATTAGTATCTCGTGAGATGAATACATAGTGTCCTTCCTCGTCAGTCCGAGCACATGAAGTCATAAACCCATCACAGGAGTTCTGTATAGTTGGTTGTATCACTGGTAATGGTAAGCTACGTTTAAACACGAGCTGATGGAGAGAGGACAGAGAGTAGGTGAGTTGAGTTTAACGCTACTTTGAACAGTATTCCAGTTATATCACGGCGTGTCAGTTTAATGTGGGAGGACAGCCCGAGGTGATGCAGGTGTCACACGTTTACCACTTCGGTGAAACCCACGCGCACAGGAATAGTGCTGACAAACCTACAAACATAATTAGACGACTGAACCACCCGTGCTCCCTGATTGATGTCTTAGTTAACGTAAGCAGCAGGAGATCACTTCCACCATCTTATATGGCGGGTTTATTTAGCATATATTGGTATTCTCACATTCGTTAAAATTCCATTTTGCTGTATATCAATTAACAGTGACTTTTTAAACTTATATATTTTTATTGAATGGAAAGAGCATATTCATTATCTACGATATATGGTGGACCACGTGTTACACATTAATAATACATTTATGCCGTTCTCGCTTTGCGGTCACGGATTTCTGAATAACATACGATCTCTCATGTCAAAAGTTCATACGAGGCAACACGGAATATTGAAGTGAGTTTGGTTAGAATTTCGGTATATCAGACCGCCTCCGTGGTCTAATGGTAAAGCTTCTGCCTAGAGAGCGGAAGGTCGGTGGTTTGATCCCCGGCCGCGTTATACCAAAACACTTTAAAAAATGGTACTTCTCGTTATCCTGCCTGGCGCTCGGCATTAGGGGGCTAAAACAAGGACTGGTCGGCTTGGAGTTGTATACTGTGTACGAGTGGGGTATTTATGTTAAACTGCGACATGGTATCTCAGTGGGCTAGCACTATAAATCGGCATTAGTCCGGTCTAGTACAAGCAGACACACACACACACATGCATGCACTATGTGAGTACATTAATCTTTGACGCGTGGTTTAACCCCATTTCATCTCATCATCTCACCTATTTCAGTATATCACGGTGTGTCTGCTTATTGCAAAGTGATGCAACGCAGGTCGGAGAAGTTTATCTCTGAAAGGACATGGTTAGGTAAGGTAAGGGCCTTTTGGGCCCACAAAAAAGGCATAATTTCAAAAAAGCGTTTGGAAATTGTTGTTAAAGTGCTCAGATGTATTCAGAGAATGATAACCAGACTACTCACTACACGCCACATAACCGTCACAGTAGGCATCTCCCATGGGAACATTCTGAGGAAGGTTCCAGCACACTGAGGTTCATCATCTCCCGTGAGACAAGTTTGAAGTGGACCAAACTAATCTTAATGGGTGATTTATTTGTAGCCATGAATGTCGCCCAGAGATGAAACAGCACTCAAAGCAGTAGAGACAAGAATACCTCCCGAAAGGTCAGACCAAAATCATGCTAATCCGCTGAAGCAACTGCGTGACAATATCCAGGCTACAGGACTATATTAGTGGAAAACTACTCGAAGGCGTCATGTTCCACCTAAATTTTGCACCTGTCCAAGTCTGTTGTCGCCATGGCTGCAATGCAAGACTCAATGAACATCCTCCGTATTCATCCCCCGTCTTCTACACCAGTGGGGTTCATTCACTCTAACATCTTTGACAAGTGTGTGGAGCGTACTATGTTAAACATTAATTAGCAACCAACAATTTCGATTCTGAACTGATAATATACGCCTCGTAAAATATAGTGAAATATTTTGTGTCACGGCCTTGATCATATTTGAAGTTAGAAAGGTCGGCTTTTATCACTCATTTTAGCAAAGCCTCTTAAATGTTATGTCAGAAGAAACAAACTTGCAATTGTAAGAAGACAAACGGCTGGATGCCTGCCATGTCTGAAAATTTTCATGCCAATATTTCAAAGCTTTCTGCAATTATATAATATGATATTTCCAGGGAACCGAAATGGGCCTATATCCTATATCCTCTCATGACATAAAACGTCAACGCTAGAGGATAATCAAGTCTCGATTATCCGCCGAACAGAGGCAAAACAATGGTAGAAATGACATGAATGGATCACTGAAATCAGTGATGACTCCAGGCGTTTGCAATTTGCATCCAAAGTAAGTGTTTGTTTGTCTGATGCTGCACAGAAGTACTCCTACCATGCGACAGGGGCCAGTAAAAAATGTGTCTTGACCATATAATCAAGTGATTGACCAGGCAATCCAGTGAAAAGATAGCGCATTTACTGATTTTGTTCAAACGAAAAATAAATATTGAATTACGTCTGCTGCTTACAAGTGGAGAAAAACTTAAGATATTTGTTCGTTCTGCAACACATTGGGGAGCAGTCTACTCAGCATAATTGATAAGAGCTAATGAGCTTATGATGAAACTCGGGTACATCAGTTCACCAACAGAAACATCGACCCAGGTTAAGTACATATATGACGTCAACGCCAAGGAATGGTCAGTCTCGATTATCCGACGAAACAGATTTCATTAATTCGTAAACCCAAGTGCAAAGATATAATGCGAAAAAGAAACATGATCATGAAAAGTGTGATAGATGTATTTCTCACAAAGACATGGGTGGTAGAACTTCATGCATGGGTATGCATTTTTATGTCAGCTACATTGTCTCGATGGATACTGTCCTTGTAATGATATTGATCTCAAAATATTGACAATGGGAAGAATGCCAATTCAGTCTGTCAAATAAAACTAATTGTATGATCATCACGGAACCGTGACATGATAAGTTATGTTATCCACGTGTTCTTTGCATCATTGTTCCATTTTGAAATATTGAGAACAATTCGATGACATCAATCGTTCATCAGTTCACGACGACAGAACCTTCAAATAATATTCATATATTGATCCCCTTTGCTTGATAGATGAATTATTTACAGGCCTTTTTTGTGTTTTGTCACATACGCCTACACATGTTATGGACTGTGAGGTAGCTCACGTCAGCTATGACAAGCCAATTGTAATATTCGTTAAGTGATAAATTATTGGAAACATTAATATTCAATTTCATATTATTCACGAATTGTTGATTCAGTTTCAGTAAGGATTTGGCAGTTCCTTTAATTACGCATGACATATACAAGCTTAAGTTCTCTCAAGAGATAGTATTGTTCATGCAAACAACCTTACGTATTACGCCTCTTCTAATGCGCTCCTACTAAATGTCACTTGGCGATCCGTCATCCTTTAACTCTGGCGATTAACTAATGTATCTGGCACCGTCATTATTTGATAGTCATTCATAAATACATGCTCATGATTTAGTCGGAATCTGCAATCTTTCATTTAGTGGAGATTTCTTATGAAGATGAAAAGGGTTGTGCCGCTTTTACCAGATACACATACACTGCTAATCACTATAACTATACTAGAATGCTCTGATGAAGAGGAGTTTTATTCATTGTTATTCTTTTATTGTTCTCGAAGAACACTAATCTTTGCCATGGTGTTAATGCAGTGGGCATTATAGTAACGCTGATGTTCATAGAACTACCACTAAAGGAATTCACGGTAATACTTCACAATATACACGAAAAGCTGTCTTGAAAATGACAACATCACAGGATAATGACATGGGCTGATCCTGTGGTGGTAGCGAATTCTCATAACGAAACGTAAATCAGTTGCAGTTATCGTATAAGGATGTTACCTAAAACTAGACAGAGTAGTGATCGGACAATAGAATCTGAAACCAACAGGAGGATCTTAGTAATAGAGGACCTTAGTAGTAGAAGACCTTAGTAATAAAGAAATACATCAACAATTTAATAACACAAAGTACTAACCTTTCTTTACGTACCACGCCTTGATGTTGGCGAGATGAATGTCGACACGAATCAAAAGTCTCAAAGATATCACAGCAGCTGTACCGCGTTGCTTCCTCTCTGTGAACGTGTATGTACATTGTGATTACTGAGGGACGCCCGATAGAGGTATCTTTCATGGACAGGCTCTGCCATACGCGAGGTTATTGATCACTTCTTACAGCTGCAACATTTCACCTTTATTGTCCCAGTGAAAACAGCTGCTGGCGTATTGAGTATATGTTATATTATTGTGTTTATGAGGGTAAGTTTCTATAGCTATAAACAGTATATGCTCATAATAAATACATTAATGAATGGCATTTATTAATGAATTCCCCGGGGCATAGTTTCAAACAATATATCGCGTGTTGTGAGTTTAGTAGGTGTGTTATAGCGTGAGTGTGGGTTTGAAAGATATTTCCAAATAAAAACTATTACATATGGACCCCATTAAAGAAATTTGCTTTGCAATTACAAAAAACATTGTTCTATTTTCCTACGGACGTCATGATGAAGAAATACCATATGTCAACAATAACATATTGTAGTATATACTTCAGTGTCAAAGACTGAGTTTTCGGAACTTGAAAAAAGTTATATTTTCATTGCGGTGAACAAAACACTTGATAGTTCATATTTAGTTTATATTTTTTAGGATTTTGCAAACACGAAATTACTTTTAAGTCGCAAATACAAGGGGTGGTGAACCGTGGTGAAATGAAATAATTTAATTTTCCGGTAGAAAACTAAAGTATGTATTTGACATCATACCATCTGAATACGATTATAAGTGATGTGGGCACATGGACAGGCATAACGTTATCTTTGATTACGGTAGGCCAAATGTCCATGAGAGATTCTATATTTCCCCTAGTTTACAGTCATATGTTTCAACATTTAACAAGTCAATGAAAAAGAGATGCATTTCATTTCATGAACAATAGGAATTCACAATACGACATCTAGGCAATCATATTCGATAAACCGATATTGGTGAAAGTAGAACAGGTATTCAAGTGCGTGGGTCGCTAATGATGCTATGCCATTTACTGTAGTGTCCGCTGCTAATGGACATCGATCTATTCTTTTTTAACGTTCTTATATATACTGGAATATTGACAGTTGTATAACTAATATTTCGAAAAGGTCATCTTGTAGTGATAAAAAACACACCAGCAATCACGATAAATCAAAAGGATGTTTTAATACTCGATGTTATTAAAACAATCAAGGATAATGTATTGGGCAAAAGAACATGCAACGTTTCTGTCTATACGTGGTCATATTCGTGTCTCTGTCACAGATGGAAGAAAACAAATTATACAGGATCCACAAGACACTGTAACGATCGGGTGTTACACTGATAGTTCACGCCAACGTTGAGCATGAGCTGTTACGAGGCGAAGGACAACATTCGCCTTGAATAAAAGTAAGCTGTAGATTACTTTGTGTGTAAGGACAAAGACATAGAGTCTTTCAAAGCAATTATAAGTCAACGAGATAACTAAAACCTTGAATTGGCGATATAACCTTGACCGCTGGTACAATAACCTATACCGGTATGTTGCAAAGACGGTAAAACGGTTTGCAAATTTCATCCGGTATCTTGCAACGTTCAAATTCCCATCAATCACAATCATTTAAGTCCTTGCGGTAGCCGTAATTCCCCCCACATAATAACGACACCGCCTCCAATGCAAGCGCTTTCAAGAAAACATGGCGTGACGTTACACACACCTCGACGCCTGCGGATACCCTGCCATCGGATCGGTGCAGTAGGTAACGGGACTCATCAGTGAAGAGAACCTTTCTCTTTTGACGTGTTGTCCGACGCAAGTGTTATCTGCACCATTATAGCTAAAATGGATAGAATTATCATAAAAACGCCCGCATGTTATCTGAAATGAGCGGGCCACTGTAACTTGATAATGCCCTCATATTACTTGACGACGGGCCATTATCACGCCCGTTGTTAGGTGGCGTCATAGGATAGGGATAGGTGACGTAACGTTCAATAGTGACGTCATCTGGTTTGTTCAATAACGTTTCCATATTTGTAAAAGTGGGTCAGTGACATTCGTGTTGATTGCAGTAAATGTTTCAAAACCTATATTGTTGTTTCTTTTTATTTGATAACAAATTCCATCCATTTTAGCTATAATAACGGTAACGCTATTTTTCAGGGCATTATCATTTGCAGAAGCCCTCGGTCTTTTCAACTGCCCTCCTTCGTCGGGCAGTTAATGGAAGACCTCGGGCTTCGGCAAATGATAATGCCCTGAAAAATAGCGTTACGCTTATACTAGCGTCGACGTTAAAGTTTTGTCGTCATGATAGACCCTGTGGCTGGGCGCCTCGCTCGGATGCCGAACAAGCGAAGATGTAGTCGGACTATCCTCCTAGGTAAGCCTCTGTTGCCAGGGATGATACCGGTTAGGAGAGTTGTTTTCTGGAAACTGTGTTGAAGAAACGTGATTTATATCCATATGACTTAAGGGGTTGTCACGGGTGGGTGGCCCTGACGTGGTTATTCTGTTGATAACGTCGCCGTGTCAAATGGTGTTCTATACTAGTGGACGTTGAATTGACGTGCGACCTCACGCTGCGACTACCGGATTCATTCTGTTATTGTCACTTAGGTGTGGCATGGTGAAATCCTATCAAATTCTGATGGTTGCCTATAGTGGCAATGACATTGGATTATTTATCAGGTCTACAATAGAGAACATTTAAAGCTATTTCTCCCGAATATTCGTTATGTCTGGAAAAATACATGAACACGAATAACGTTTCATCAAATCCAATAGTTCATGTAAAGTTTGTAAGTGACATCCAAGTCACAATAACTTTTGCTTTTGAGTGTACATGTGATGAAACATAATGTGGCTTTAAAGTTAACGTGGTACGCCATTGCTTACACAAAACCTTTGTCCAGAACTTAAAAGGTAAAAAGTAAAAGGTACCAAAACTCCATGTAATGTAAACATGGTCTTATCTCGTGGTGGCTCGGTTCATTATTGAATACAAAAGTCTTAATTGGATGCCGGTCAAATGTGGCGCTCTTGTAGCAGTGGCAGCTGTAAATTAGTCTGAAGGACTTCATTATCTGAGGATTAATTCATAATTAGGCTCATTATCACATATCACATATCCGTCGGTGCTAAATATACGTTCCAAAAGGCGTCGAAGAATGCAGTTGTATATAATTATAATCAGTGCTAGAGTCAACGCTTCCCTTAAGGAAAAGTGTTGATGTCTTTTTCTGGTTCATCTTATCCTCCAGCTCACCAGGTTTCATCCATGAATGCCAGTGTTGCTGTTCACTGGCGTGTAATGGAGATTTGAGATCTCGCAAAACGTAATCAGATACTAAATCGAGAGTTGGGAATGGAAAACATAACCAGATGAGTTGTTTGCCATGTTCAAGTAGCATTGAGCTCGGCATTGTTTTTGATCCTCTCACCGTTACTGCAATAGGAACGTGAGACGTTGGATGAAATACTAACAAAAAGTTTAAAAACACACGTAGTTATTGGCGTTAGTGCGTTAAATTAGGCTGTTGCAAGTCAAACCGGTGTTGCAAGTCCATGACACAGCGCCTACCTCTTTACTAGGCTCTCGCCCCTGTTAGCAGAGGTGGACCGGTCATCTATAGCCCCGCAACAGGCTAGGATTTATGACCATTAATTGTGCCGGGATCCGATAACCGTGGGTTCAAATATCTACATCTACAACCTTATATCACAACATTGTGACTGTGGTGTTATTCTCAGTAACGTTAACACCTCATAGATCCGTTGAAGGATGTCAATATTATCATGACACGATACCGAAATGTGAAGGTGATACAATAGAATGGGTTGCACTGGGTGCTCCCGTAAGAATATCAACGCCCATCAAACAATCAGAGACCGTTATAAAAAAAAAAATGCAATCAAAAACAACTTGTCAATGGAAAATATCGAGTCATTGCTATCATCATCATCATCATCATCATCATCATCAGCTGCAGCAGCAGCAGCAGCAAAACCAATTTATATTGGCCAATAAAAGTAAAACATTTCAATAAAAACACTAGAAAAGAAAGGTTATACTGGAACAGCTGTTTGTTTCTAACATCATTACGTCGTTCGGTCCTCATCGACCATGCGTGTCTATTGTATATTTTGCTTTTCTTTTTTGTGCTTTTCCTTGCAATGGCTTTAATTATGTGAGGGATAAAATGCTGCTGACTGAAGGTTGCCACTTAATATCATTTTTTCATTATAAAACAGATTTATAGTGATATATATATATATACCAGCAAACGATTTTGCTTTCGAGCACGAGAGAGTGAGTGAGTGATTGAGTTGGGTTTAACGCCGCTTTTAACATTATTCCAGTTATATCACGGCGTGTCAGCTGAATGGGGGAGAGGAAAGCCCGAAGTGATGCAGGTCTAAGACGTTTACCACTTCGGTGAAACCCACGAGCACGGATATGGTGCTGATAAACCTAGAAACATAATCGGGGCGAACCGGGATTCGAACCCACAATCATAGGTTTCTGGCGTGCCCAAGGGACGCAACTCTGCACAGCGAATCGCTGCGCCTTAGACGACTGGGCCCCATTCCGAGCGCGAGGTGCTATTATACAACATAGTGAATTGTATTAAGCATTCAATTCTACCCCAGTAAGAAGGTAATTCAAGATATGAATAGTTTACTTTCTTAAACAGTTTGTGACAGTTTGTAGTGTACTGTTGTGTATAGTTTGCAATGAAATAAAAGCGTGGTCATGCCTATTACAGGAACAAGTATATCGCCTGTGGTACAATTAACGGATTCTAATTGATATTACAAAAACAAACAAACAAACAAACAATGGCGTCCTTGTGTATACAGCGCAACCAGGGATAGAAACGGGAATGTGTAACTTTACAGCTAAAAATACTGCACCAAACCTTGCAGGCCTGTGAAAAAAACCACACACGTCATCTACGAATCTACCCTTTGTGGATTAAGTTTTGAGACACAAAGAGTCGATATACAGCCAAAGTAGATCAGGTGTCAACAGAAATAGTTCCAATAGGATGCACAGAGAAATAAGTTTGGATTCGACTATAGTTTA